GTGGCTGCTGATTGCGCTCCTGGGGGACAGTCCTCAGGGACGAGCTCTGGTGAAGACGCGCTGCCCATGTAGGCGCGTCAGCATCTCCGCGAGGTGCTGCCCGGGAGCCCTGGCGCCGTGAGCAGAGCAAAGTGGCCGTGGGCAGTGAGACAGGCTCTGGCGCCATGTAACACTGACGGCTGGTACAGTGGGTGACACTAGGCTCCTGGTTTTCTCTGTATTCCCCACCCTGGCCCGCTCCTGCCCACACCTCAGACACCCCCTCACCTCCCGCTTCCTTCCCGGGCACCAGCCCACACCTCACTCTGCCTCATTTATTTGGATTCTGTTGTCTGCTGGGGGGGTGGGGTCGTCCTTGACCCGTGACCCCTGGCTGGCCCAGGGGGGTGGGGGTATTGCAGGGCCCCTGGAAGGGGTGCCCGGCTTAGGCAGAGTGTGGGGTAGACAAGCTCTGGCTGGAAGTGTAAGCGTTTACGTAAAGGCACCTGGTTCTCCACCTCGCGTGGCCGTGTGTGAGCCTGGCAGCGGGTGGACAGAGACTGTTTTGAAGCTAAAAAAGTGGACTTTCAAGTTCTAGAGCAACAGCCTGAGGGGAGGCGATGGTGAGGCCGAGGCCTGGCCTCGGGCAGAGGACCCCTCAGCCCCCCTCGGCCCCTCCCAACCCCCCTCGGCCCCTCTTTTTTTCGGCCCCTCCGCCTTCCCCAGCCTGGAGGCCAGTGAGGTGGCTCTCCCTCTGGAGCCACAGGCAGGGCCCAGTCCCGCCCTCGCCCTCACCCAGGCCAGGCCGGAGCAGCCTCGGTGCAGGCTGGACCCCGTTTTTACAGTCACAGGGTCCACCCGAGGGGTGATTTAAAAATCACAAACTTCCAAGACAATTCTTTTCTAACCTCAGAGATGATCAAACTGGAAAGATATTCTTAAGCAACATAAGCCAGGCCATCTGAGCAGGTCAGATGCACCTGGGAGGGCGCCTGACAGCCACGGGGCAGAGGGAGCCCTGCCTCCGGCCTGGGATCAGTGGGAATGGGGGGGTGAGCAGCGAGTCAGCGCCCCCCAGTCCCCCGCCCCGCTTGCCCGCTCGATTGAAAAGCGCGTTGTCTTTAGTCTTCCAGAGCCCAGGACTCAGGGTTTCCAGCAGCCGCCCCACCGCTCTGACCTCTGGCACCTGCTCCTCAGGCTGCCCTGCCCCGAGCACCCGGAGGCTGTGTGCCTGGCAGAGGCGTAGGGGCTGGGAGCCCCGTGAGCCCTCCCTCCTGTCCGCAGGCTGCGGCAAGCCCTCTCCTTGTTGCCGTCTGATAAGTGAGAGCAGGTGTCCCCTTACGGACCTTTCAGTGTTGAGATCATGTGGGCTTTGTGTGTGGCTCAGGTTTTGTGCCCGTTTTCAAGGCGACTACGGAGCTGGCAACAGGAGACACTGCCTGTTCGCTGTGAGTTTGAAAGTCAGTTACCGAGCCACGTCCACGTGGCACCAGGAGGGAAGCGTCCAGGAGGCGACAGCCGCCCAGGCTCTGGCGGGGCCGGAGGGAGACTGGACACCCCTTTTGTACAAGTGAATGCCCTCTGGGGAGTAAAGAGGGAGGACAGCTCGCCGCCCATGCCGGCTGAGCGCCAGGCATGGTTGGTCACCGGCGGGGACTTGATCCCGTGGCAGCTGACGCCACAGCTCCTGGGCTCCCGTTTCCCAGTGGGGACACCGAGGCCCCGGCCTGAGGGACCACCCGGCCGAGGAGCCAGTAGCCAGAATCCCGAGTCCTAGCCTCCGTCCCCTCCCCCAGTTCCAGAGGCGGGCGGCCACGAGGGTCAGACAGCTGATGGCGGAGCCCTGAGGACTCACTGCTGGGCCAGACTGGCGGGCAGGCGGCTGCTGCCCGTGGGGCTCGGTGTCCCAGGGCCGGTGACGTGCCGCCTGCTTCTCCCACGAGCACCTGCTCCGCCCCGGCCGACAGGGAAGAGTGAAAGGGGCAGCTTTCCGAGGGCGCAGTGCTCGTGGGGGTTTCTTCTTTAAACTTGGTCTTTTTGCAAATTCCACTAGTTCCTCCTGGAAGGACATGCGTTTCCTTTAGAAAGGGTTGCGTCAGAGGTGGAGGTGCGGGCTGCTCAGGGTGACAGCACGGACAGGTCCTGCGGGCAGCTGTTATCTGAGGACCCAGATAAAAAGCAAAACAGAGCCTCTTGCCACAGCTGTGTCCTGGAGCCCACGCCTCCGCCCTCTGCCCGACCCGGGCCCCTTTCCCAGCAGTCCCGGGGTCACCCACCCCGGTCACGCAGCCCCCGGGCCCCGAGTCCACCGGGCAGGGCACGGCCCAGCACCCGGCCC